GTAGGAGGTCTACATTTCACTGGGCCATGCAATATTCATACCAAGACGATATTGGGATTGATAAGGTTGCGGTGGTCAATTTTGGCACTCTCAGCCCTAACGAATGAGCGTTGGTATTTGAAGTTTGAATTGTTATAAATGTAATCTAACCCAACCCAAAGATTGATGGGTAGCGTAGAGATTAGATGTGGCCACCGGGCGGAGTTGGTTACACTCAAAGTGACCACCGTGCGGAGTTGGACTGACCTTTCGGAGGCCATCAAACTATTCCTCATCCTAAATCTGACCAACACGCGCAGTTGGGCTATCCCATAGTCAATTTAAAATCCAAGGCATATTTTTGGGACAAAGTGTTACTAGTGAGCAGATAGTCAGTTGGACCGCAGGCGACATCTGAGGATTCTGGACCGAAATGTTACTTGGACCGAAGTGGTTCGACACGGCTCAAACAGCATTTCACCTTGAGACAGTGGTGTAACATCCAACATTTTATATTGACACTTTACCTCTAGATCTATATCGAAAAATTGTTTTAAATAATACAATTAGGATCAAATCTATACGTAGGTACCATAATGATTACAATAACCTAAATGATTATTGACGAATAAAGGTTATGACGTCTTTAATTAAAACACATCTAAAGTTGTTTCTAGCATTTCGTTGTCCTGGCGAGCTTTCCTCTATGTGAAATCATCCTTAAAGAATACTTAACGATATTGTTTTTATTTTTTCTCATTTGAAAGCTATAACAGAAGTGCACAAATCAGAATAACACACATGTAAATTTAGATTTAAAGAAAAGTGTTAATTTTATAACAAAACTGTATTTGATTATAGACTTTATTATTTAAAGACAGTATTTTTTACGTTAAATCTATTTTTTTTTGTAAACACTGTACTGTTTACTAAAATTCGTTATTCAATCTTTATCCGAAGCATCAAAATGCACATCATATACCAAAGAAAAAAACGCATATGCAATTTCTCCTGAGAAAAAAACCTCCCAATCAAGAAAATTCATGTCCTAATCTTCGAACACTAACCCTATACTAAGTTAGACTATCGAGCATAACTTACAAAAGTTGGACTAATGAAGATGATACCCTCACAATCGAAACGAATCGCGAATATTTGATTGTAAAACTCCAAAGCAGATAGCAGGGTGTCCACAAAAGATTTGTCATTAATTTCCATGACTTTCCATGACTATCCATGACCATTTACCATTGATTTCCATGACTCACGAACTTTACACACAAATTATAATATAACATACACACACAAATAATACTGCCTGGACATGTTATTTTGCAGAAAATACTGAAATATGTAATAACAGATAACAATGGAGTACAATAGGTACAACAATGAACTAAAACAAACCGAAAACTCATAAAATAATACAACTGTAATAAATTGAATTGTCGAACATTTGTGAAAAATGCTACAACAGTCCGGGTTACGGCTGACTAGAGCATTGAATGGTCCCCTCAAATCCATCCATAATTGGAAATTTCCATGACTTCTTGCCTATTTCCCTGACTTTCAATGACCAAAACTTTTTTCCATGACTTTCCATGACTATCCCTGACTTTCCAGAATGTGGACACCCTGCAGATAGTTTATCCTAACAAATATCCCGATAACTCAAGATTACCCACAGTCAGTGCACGGTCCGGCAGCCCAGCTGGTATTAAATAGTTGGGAGGCTCGTCCCTTTAATTAAAATTCCATAAAGGTAGGTTGGCGTCGATCTGCGATATGGGTGTGTAATTGTGCCCCCCCCCCCCCCCCGCCCCCTACTTGCCATAGATGACCAGCTAGTCAATAAGTCTCGGGATAAACCCTATCAAGGAGATGATAGACACAAGGTGGTACATAGAACAAACTACTGTACTATGTTTTCAACTTTTCTAAATTGTTCTATATTTTATATTTAATTGATTTGATCCTTTTCCAGAGTAGGTATATTGCAATTTTCCTTATTTGAATAGTATAAGATTTGATTTGAAAAAGTAAGGTTGGTTACAGTTTATATAGGGTTACAAATACTCAGGTTTGTGAACAGAGGGAACTCTAGATGTTTGTTTAAGGTTTGACTCTGCGATGTGAAGAAAATACGCAAGTTGTAAAATCAGTATACGAAGGTTACAAAAAAAATTCAAAAGAACGCAGAGCCTGTTCCATGAAATAATTTCTAACGAAATACAGGGTGACGAATTTTTTTCACACTGAGTACCAATCACCCTGTATATGAATTCGTAAGTATTGAAATAAAATAGCATCTCCTAGAAACGATATGAAATACCAACCTCTTCGTCGTGGTAGTAATGTACAGCTCTTCACTATTGATACACTCCCGTGGATCTTTTTATTCGAATGTCAATGTTATAGCTACACTAGGAATGATACACACTGTTCGGTTCTGTAAAGGTTTCGAAAACGACCTGTTTTGAAATAATGCTATATATATACTACTGCAGCTTCCAACCACTAACACACAAAATACTGCACTATTATCAAATTACGAAAGACTACTTTTGGAAACTGAAGTAGACATCCCATCTAGGTCCAGCTGTATTATATATTTAAATTTGCACACATATGCTCCAGGTCATGGTGGAAGTAACATTGAATTTTCTCCCACAATTATTTTGATAGTTGAATATGCCGTAATATTATATGCATACTGTATTATACATTAATGTGTATTTGGCACCAGGACACCCTGTCGGTTGTTGTTGTACAACTGAACTGCTTTCTAAAATTGGCTGCAACTTTAACATGACTATTGAAAGTCTAGTTTCATCAATAGCCAAAGGTCAAGATTCGTCGTCTCGTCGAAGTGTGTTGTAACATAGTTTTTATTAATTTGGCTAACCACACATCGACTGTGGTATTCACAATGACAGTTCCGTCAGGGCCAGCTGATGGCAGCTAAAAGCCAGGAGCTGCAGCGGGATTTATGAATGGCAGACTGGCCCACTACCAACAGTGAGGTTACACTGACTCACTGGCTACTTGTGACTAAACCAACCAGTGTACATAGCTACCCATAAATAAACGACACTACCAGTAAACGTAAATCAACATCGGAATCCAATGTTTTCCAAATATTTGCGATCTCCAAACATATATTTCTTGTAAGGTGCATAATGTTGGTGGTTTAAGTTATTTTCCAACTGAATAGTTCCACTCTTTCCCAAAACATCCGGATATGTTTACGTCACCAAGTCTTAGGTATTTTGTAAAGATGCTTTTCGAACCCCTTATTTGGCTACAAAGTAATTTTCTATAACGTTGTGGATTGAAAACAAACAAAATCTTGATCGAGAAGCCACCGTTACTTTTCTACGTTAGGAACACTGTGACATGTTGTTCCCCAGGTAGTTCGCAACCAAGACTTGAAGGAATTGAAAACTATTAAATAAGTGGGAAATAGTTGTCATCGAAATCTCCAACACGTTAACGTCTTTCCAAAACCAACGTTAATATTTATAACAATCCGGAACCTACCTTGGATTAAAATTATTATATGAACGAGAAGAATTGAGAACTACGACATTATTAACAACAAAATAAAAACTTTCGAGACCGATACCTTAGTTTATTTAAACTTGACTCGGGACCATGACTATTGCCCGTTTTTCACCGACGCTGCGATGACGATGGCCGATATTAATTAAACGCTGTCCCCAGAGCCCTGGCTGATTAGCCCGAGTGTTGATTTAATTATCGGCCGCTGTTCCCTTGCACTGGCGATTGCATATTCATCAATTTGTCCGATCGCCCCACCCACACCCCGAGCCGACCTACCTCGGTCGCTCCGTGTATACAAATAAGGATTACCTCTCGCCCGGGGACGGATTTAGGGTTATTGCTAGTGTTGTTTTTGTCAAGGGACTTGTCGAACCGACAATAGCGGATTTGGCCCGCGTCCGATAAAAACGACACGACACCGTCTACAATCCGACGACGGCTCACAGGCTCAAACCCCGCCATCGTACACGACTAATCCATTATGTGCGTGTGTTTTTAAAAAAATGTTTGGTAAAAAACGCGATGGTTTTCCGAGAGATGATTCGAAGTTGTTGGATTTGATATTAATGCGGAACGCTTGTTGAGTGGACTCGAACAGACACAATGTTGCATTACACTGGTTATGTGTGTAAAATTATCACCGCGATTTGAAATTCAAATATATTTATTCAAAATAATACAGCAGCATGGCTTCGCTAGATTATAAAACTCGTCGGTGAGGTCCGATTGATACTCATAAAATTATGGACACAATTTGGAACACAGTTCCTTAATTTTCTGTTGTGGTGTTTCCGGACTAATTGATTAACATTTTAAATAAAAACGGTAAAAATACCTGATTGTTACCTTGAAGTCCAAGGTTTAGTCTACTGGATTATGCTCATTTCAGGTATTAGTTCAACGTACCTGACGATGGGCGTACGAGCTGAAATTAGCATATTCCAATAGGACAAGCCTTGGACCTTAAGGTGACAACCAGACATTTCAACCTTTTTTAATAGTAATTACCTTTGTTCTTGGCAAAAATTAGTGTATTCTCTAAGGCGGAGATTAGATAGGCGTTTATTTAAATATGGAAAAAGAACTTAGATGAACTCCAACCTGAGCTGAGTTAATACACAACCACTTCTTTCCCTAGAGACTGAAAACTCTGAAAATGCAACCTTATATGATTTTCCGGGAAGTTGGTACACAAGCATAAAAAGTAAAGTAACGTTTTTATTAAAGTAATATTTTGCGCTTTTTACGGAAAAGGTGTTTAATTAACAGGTGGCGTTCAATTTTATCAAATGACCATGCTAAGGAGAAACACAAAAAAGGACCAATACAAATTAAGGAAAACATAATAATTATATGTATATAAATCAAAGAACACCAAGAAACCACCAAAGGATAAGAAAATTACAAGTCAAGACTTAAAAAAATACAAAATTATTTGAAATTAGGTGGTTTCTTACCTTGAACCTGGCCAGCTTGGAGTTTTCAGCAGCAAGTTTGTGCAAAGCTTGGTAATCCGACTGCGCTGATTTGACCATCCATTCCCGCGCTTTTGGGTCCAGCTGAAAATTAAAACAAGGAACATGCTGAATACTTGCAGAGGATTGAAGTTGAATACTGCGTATGCTGGATTTATCTGAATTGGTTGAACTTGGAATCCAAGTTCACGTCTGAATTATAATGTAGCTTTTCACAAAAGAGCAGCTTAATGGGTTTTGTTTATCTTAAACAATGCAATTTAAGAATGGATTGAAGAACAACTGATATTTATTTATGGTATTTTCGTTTTGAACGTTTTAAATGCATTAGCTAATAGAATCGACATCTATTAAAAAGCTTTTATATAAAATTGAAAAAAACATTTTGCAGCAGATTAAATTTAGCCTTTGGGGCGATTTAAATAAACAAAACATCTTTGATAGTAAAATTGTTACCAAACAGCTGAAAGTTTAACTGCCTGACCTTACAATGATTTAAACTAATGTTAAATGGGGTCATAACTACTTACTACTGTAGAGACAACCTAAAATAGGTTAAAGATTGACTTCTGACATGATTATAGATCATAATTGCCAAATGATACTAAAAAAGGTTTAAATACCTCCTATTGTGCATCCATTAAATTGCAAAAGCAACGCGCATTAAGCATTTCATTGGATGCCTAATAGCATGTATTTAAACCTTTTTTGACTTTTAAAACTTTGTTACAATGAAATTTAGGATTGGACGTTTCTCCGGTCTTGAAGACTGATGAGAAGAAGCAATAGGAAATGTTGGCAAAAGAAACATTTAAGTACACAGTTTTAGTTTTTAATTCAGAAAACTCTTTGGAAAGACGTGCTATACCACATTTTAGCAAGTATAAGCTTAAGTCCCTGTAAAAATATCAACACCCTCTCCACATATTTCAACCTCTATCACAACTCACGCAGTACTTCAGCCGCCAAAACCACCGCCCCCGCCGTTACCTCAATCGCCGGTGTAAATCCGCTCATAAGCCGGCGGTAAATAAATCGACGCACCTCATTAGCGGTAAATAAAGCGCCGGAATCAAAACTGTTTAGCGCTTGAGAGATGGCGACGTCTCTAATAGGACGTGGCGCGTGTTTGGACAAGCCAAGACGGATGACGGCGCGCCACCTGCCACACGCTATATATAAGCGCATAAATCGGCTACACGTGTTTATCTCGTTATTTACGCGTGTTTTGTACCTGCGCGTCGCTAAATCATACAAATTGTTACACCCGCGTGGATTAGTGAGATCTGGGAACTGATGCGCGACCGCGGCTGGGAATGCTCGTGTGTATGAGGGATGGGAAATTGTTGGTCGTCGGCCACGGGCTAAAACTATCGCGGACCGCTGAGTCGACGGGGCTTGGAGGACTGTTTTCGTGCGGAACAGTCAGGCAGCGGAATCCCTGTCAGTGGCATTTTTATCGAATAAGTTTCAAGCAAAACTGTCCAAACTAACATTTAAATGTGTGTTTAAATCCAACAATCTTGTGACGTTAATGACGATTGTTCACTTTTATTTGCGTCTATATAATACAACACGTGTGTAACTTTTTGGTAAATACCAGAGAACAATAGTATATTTTATCATCTTGTCAAAATAGTTAAAATGGTTAGATAACGAGACATATAGAGGTGTTTTGTGGTTGGTGTCAAAGATTTTAAGGAATTATTACTCAAACACATTGCGATAAAAATACGCAATTCGGAAGGTTAGGCCCTATATCTCACTCTTACTTCTAGAAACAGCAATTTTTTTTAGATTTTTTTCAAAATGTTGTATTTAATCTCTGACACTGACCACCAAATACCCTGTATAATAAACGACTCGCACTCCATTTATACAAGACTGAAAAGCTACATGTGTTGTGAAGGATGAGTGATATTCTTACCCTATACCGTCGTGTCATAGCGGGGCGGTTTTGTGCATGGTATTCTTAGTAATGTAAATTTGGGTTGTATACAACCAAACCTTATCTTTTCTTGTATAGTATATCATTGAATTTAGCCATCATTCATAGCTACCAATTGAAACATCTAGTATCTCACCAAAACATAGCAATGTAACTTAATTTCCATGAAAACTAATTAAATTGAAATTTGTGTATTGTTAAAAATAAGGATGTTTACTCACTGAAACAAAGGAGTGTGTGTCCTCGTCCTTTTCTGGTCCTCCCTGGAACAAAAGAAAACTGTGTAGGAATTCAGACAAAGATAATTATTGTATACAAATTAGTAAAACATACATCAATTCAAATATTGAGCTTCGTGTATACCACGACATAGTTTCTGAAAATTCCAATTGTATGTAATTGGAATTAGAAGCAATCTTCTTTAAGACATATTATATACAAAAAAATAACGTCTTGAAATAGCATTAGCTATGGTAGTTTATCATAGTTGAAATGAGGCTACCTACTTATTATTATTGACCACTGTAACTTGTTAGATAAATACTAGATCATCTGAATGTCCATTTAGTTTTACTTGCTCAAAAAGTAGTCGTATTCGACAATAAACAGTAATTTGCATTGTTTGAGCTACGTCCCTGTTTATTCAATTAGTTGAAAGTGTAGAGGAGTATAAAATCACTCATTGAATAAATACGAATCCAACTGCAAAACTTCTACAAATTTACCTTAGTCATGTCACCTTCGCAGTTCAGTAATTCATAACGAGTATATCTCAATGTTAACCGTAATATAGCACTTTCCTTACCAAGACGTTATCCCGGCCACTCCGCACTATATGTAGCCTCTGTTCAACAAATACGTTCTCTACTCAATACCTACAAAACACTGCTGAACCAAAGTTAAACTACCAGAATCAGCAGTAACGCCGGTACACTTGTACAGCTGTAGCGTCAACAAATTCAACAATACCTGATCAGTCAGCTTGTCATAGACTCGACGCGAACCGGTGAAAAACTGTTGACCAAGTCAGAACAAGAGTGAATCAATAGTTCCTACGATGTTTACAAGAAACACTATTTATTGGTTGGTCAAATTTCTGATAAAGCCTTTGGAAATAAATGATTTTAAACAAAATATGAGGACCTGTGCACAATCTGTGCATTATAATATGACTCAAAACTTGTTTTTGTGACATAACAAACAATTAAATGTTATTTTCAAAGATTATGTTTGAAGACAATATTGGTTGGATAAATTTACTAATCCATACATAAATCCCAAGTACTGTACCCATGAACTTTTGAGAAACTAAAAGTTACACCCCATAAACCATATACTTAAAATGTTCGTCATGACGAGAAACCTTGCGTAAAACTATCAATTATTTCATAAATTGACCCTTTAAGTAATTCGTAATTCCTTTAGGAAGGTAACTTTCCATATAACTAATGTTCAAAATACATCAGCTGCACTTATTTGTTTGTTATTCTTTCAATTTATTACCTTACAAGAGGTTCTACCCGCGAATTCACGGGTGTACAGAAGCCTCCATTAAATTAATTTAATCAACTTTGACTTTATATTTCATGTAAAGGGCCCAAGTTCGAAATCATTGTCATCTGAAACGATGTTAAAAGCAGTGATGTTTGCTGCAAACTGTTAAATTAATAAACATTGACTATTTACAGTTAAAATATGTACTTCTCACTTTTAATTTCTGACCACAGCTGGAGTTTCATAAAAATACGAAACTTAAAAAGGGCCCCAGGGCCTCACTCTCTAATTATTTCCCTAAAAAGAAAGTTTCCTGCTCAACTTCAAGTTACGCTCTTTCCAATGACACCAAAAACATGTCAATCGGTTCAGTAGTTTCGGAGGAGTTAATTGTCACAAAAAACCTGCTTGCGTATTAAATAAGTACTAGTGTTCCTGTTGCTCAAATTCGAGCAATTGCTAAGTATTACAGGCGTTATTTTAAAACGAATTTCAACCAAATTAGCAAACTTATTGACTGTTTACAATTAACATAATTATGCTCTTCTTCTCACTTTTGATTTCTGACAACAGCTGGAGTTTCGTAACAATTTTTGTTTCCAATGTTAATCTTATGGAGAAATACGAAACTTTAAAGGGCTCCATGGCCTCACTCTCATTATTTCCCTAAAAAGAAAGTTTCCTGCTCAACTTCACATTACCCTCTTTCCAATGACACCAAAAACATGTCAATCGGTTCAGTAGTTTCGGAGGAGTAATTGTCACAAAAAACCTGCTTGTGTATTAAATAAGTATAGATAGATTAAAATCAGGTGTGATTATTTGTTTATATTACTGTATTATTGTTTGTTTATTTCAGCTTAACCTAACTCATCAATAGTTTTATTAATACTCATGAAATCAAACGGGGTGAAGCCCGTGGTTAACAGCTAGTTAACAATAAATTATTTGACCTTTAGATCTATAAAAACTGATTTACCTACCTCCATCAAAAGTACTTTGTTCAATACGTTTTTTTTTTAAATTCCATACAAATTTTTCTATTCAACATTTTCCTGGCCTACCTAACTACAACATTTTACTCCAAAAACCAAGGTCAAACGTAATAAACAAACAAAACACGATTATTAATTATTCCGGCGACCACAAAACACGCGGTGCAACTTGTTTGTATTTTTAATGTAATAAACTGTTTCCGAGAGCAAAACAGAGCGGAAAAATACAACAAACTCATCACGGGTGACAGCGGCGACATGACACCGATGTCGCGGACAAACAAGCTATGAAATCGTCAAATATCCGGACTGCTGCATTGTGTCCGAAACTAAAACTGTTGAGCATTGCCTTTAAATAAGTAGAGTTTGTGCGGACGAGAGTAGAGACGAAACCAAGAGTGTTCTATTTTGGTCTGTGCCAAAACACGTTTCCGAGTGAGCACAAGAGCAATGAATCGTTTTCACTGGGGGATATAAAGCAAAATGTTCGTTGAGTAAAAATAAATAAAGATTGTAAGAAAGTAGTTTTGAATGAGTAGTGACCATCTTTTGTTTGGTATGGAACATGGATGATTTAAACCCCATTCAGGACTTCACAAGATGTACACATCGAGTTGTTTTATTTGGATTGAGGTCGCAGATTTTGAAAAATGTTACAAAATCGTTTATAAAATCCTTAATATCTTCAAAAGCCCTTTACTCCCCAACCTAGCAATTTTGTGAAACTAACGCCCTCTATACAAGAAAATAATAATCAATAGACCCGTGATACTAACGTGATATAAAAGGATCTACTATCAAATGTATTTATGAAGAAATAATACTGTATAGCCAAAACTGGTACACGATGTACGTAATTTCCTAAAATATACTCCTAAATTCATAGTGCACAAAATAAACAATAAACTGCACAGCAAATGATTTTCGAAAATAAAGAATAATCCACATTGCTTACTGGCAACACTGCAGCACCAACAAACAAAGCGAACAAAATGACTTCCAAAACTAAAAACTATTCGAAATGTTTTACTTTTATGTACAATCTAAGAATGGGTTCACCTTTTTAGAGCCATCTTGCGACTCACCGCCAGACATCGCTCACGAACTCACATCACATGAACACCGAACACGAGAGACACAAACGTATCACGCCACTACACTTGTGACACTCTGTTGACGATAAGAGGGTCAGGGCGACGAGAACCGCTGCTGACTCTTATCACTACTTATCACCCTTCTGTGGGCTGCTTCCCTTCGCCGACGGTGGACTCAACGTTTCAGCGAAGAACAGAAATTACGCCTTGTGTATGCCAAACAATGTTGTAGTACAAATAACACCAGTCGAAAGCCAATCATGAAGGAATGAATTGCGGTTATGGTCTTTGCGAGAGTAGCCTACAATAACGAAATTGAAATTTCCAAGTGATTACGTAATAGTAAAAACGTATGGAAAAATCATAAAACCCACGCTTGACATGGCGAAATTACAGGTTCTACAATATAGGATTAACATCTGGATACACATGACACACTTTGTGACTCTAGATTTATAAAACGTTGATGGTTGGATATTAGACCTACACTGCATACTTGTACAAAGATTTCAATAACTTGGAAATCAATGTCAAATATTTAAATTATTATGAAATATTCATACATAATATTTGGTTTATTAACACCTCCATAACTCCACCCTTGTGAACTGTACTTTGAAATGATTGTAAGAAGTTCAAATGTGTCCTGGCCTCTCAAATATAGTTAAAATGTGACCTGGCCTCTCAAATATTGTTCAAATGCGACCTGGCCTTTTAAATATAGTTCACATGTGACCTGGCCTTTTAAATATAGGTAGTTCAAATGTGACCTGGCCTCTCAAATATTGTTCAAATGCGACCTGGCCTTTTAAATATAGTTCACATGTGACCTGGCCTTTTAAATATAGGTAGTTCAAATATGACCTGGCCTCTCAAATATTTTTCAAATGTGATCTGACTACTCACATATTGTACAAATGTGACCTGATTACTCATATATTGTACAAATGTGACCTGACAACTCATATATTGTACAAATGTGACCTTAACACTCAAATGTTGTACAAATATGACCTGACAACTCACATATTGTACAAATGTGACCTGATTACTCATATATTGTACAAATGTGACCTGACAACTCATATATTGTACAAATGTGACCTTAACACTCAAATGTTGTACAAATATGACCTGACAACTCACATATTGTACAAATGTGACCTGACAACTCACATATTGTACAAATGTGACCTGATTACTCATATATTGTACAAATGTGACCTGACAACTCATATATTGTACAAATGTGACCTTAACACTCAAATGTTGTACAAATATGACCTGACAACTCACATATTGTACAAATGTGACCTGACAACTCACATATTGTTCAAATGTGACCTGATTACTCATATATTGTACAAATGTGACCTTAACACTCAAATGTTGTACAAATATGACCTGGCCTCTCAAATATTTTTCAAATGTGATCTGACTACTCACATATTGTACAAATGTGACCTTGTACAAATATGACCTGACAACTCACATATTGTACAAATGTGACCTGACAACTCACATATTGTTCAAATGTGACCTGATTACTCATATATTGTACAAATGTGACCTTGTACAAATATGACCTGACAACTCACATATTGTACAAATGTGACCTGACAACTCACATATTGTTCAAATATGACCTGACAACTCACATATTGTACAAATGTGACCTGA